AGAGCAACGAGTCGGAAAGGCGCTGGCACCCCCCAACTACATTTTCACCCAGGGCTGCTTTTGAGCGGAAAGAAAAAACTGGATATATTTGGCGCATGATATTGTCATGAAGAGAAAAATGTAGGGAAGTAACGTCACAACAGGCATGTCCCCATTCACACAGATTCCCTTTCTATGCGTAGTGAATAAATTTAGGCGTGAAGTTACTGTGATCGTATAGAATACGCAACGGTTGAGCGATTAGAGGTGTTTTTACGTTACACGCCTACATGCTTGACAATTGCCTCAGTAGTGTGCGGTCTCGCAAAGAAAACTTCCTGCGCCCTTCAAAATCCTGGATTGTTCCGCTTTATTATTGACGGCCTAAATTTGCAATTTCGTTTCTTTTGGTTGTCTTTGTATTTCGATTCAGTTGTTTATTGAGTTTTACGGTATCTTCACTCCGAAGTGTCTAAGGGGAACATGAAAGAACCTCTGTTACGCTTCCATCATTGGAGTTTTTCCGCTATGAATGTCAGCTTTGTGACAAGAAAAGACTCGCAGTCAGATGCTTTGGGGGTGAACTGAGTTTTAAGCCGCATCGTATCTTCTTTTTTCTCGAATTTACTTTTCAGCAAGCAAACATTACTTGCAATTGTTCGCTTATCTTTTCTGTATGCTCTTTCTCAATTTTTGTCTTAATGTTTTTTGTTTACTCAACATTGTTTTCAGGGGAACCTACATCTAGGATGACCAACTCAAAGGGTCTCAGGCGCGGAACGCGCTACATGTTCGCTCGCAATTTCCGAAAGCATGGTATTGAACATTTGTCCACTTACTATCGTATTTACAAGCGAGGAGATATCGTCGACATCAAGGCTAACGGTGCTTTCCAAAAGGGTATGCCCTTCAAAGCGTACCATGGCAAGACCGGAACAGTATTCAACGTGACGAAGAGTGCCGTCGGAGTGATTGTCAACAAGCGTGTTCGGTAAGCATTTGGATTCCGTTTATAACTACGTTGTTTTCTCATTTGTTTCCGTTTACTATTATTTTAAAGCAAAAGGTTCTCATTCCTCTTCTCATTTGAGTAACTCTGTGATGTGCAACTCATGCTAGCTCGTTTTGATTTTCACCTTATTTCATACAGCAACGTTACGTTGTGGAGGAGACCCTCCCCTTCAGTCCGCATGTTTCTAATCCGTCTGCGTGTTTCTGCGCTGACGTTTCGCGAGCATGCGAAATAATTCCATGGCCATTAGACATGCTGTCTATGTACTTTCGGCAGTATCATGGCACTGGAACAGTACGAATGTTCTGAAGGTTCTGGCGTTGGAAACATCATTGTTTTTCATTTGGGTTTGCAACTCACCAGATATTATTCTTTGCCCCTTTGTTGATGTCGATTTTTGCCGAAACCGTCGAAAAACTCTTTCTTCAAAGCACTTCGAGCTTATAAACGAACATCTGATTAATGGAATAATTTCCAATCGCAGTCCAGGATCAGGTGTAAATAGAATTCAATCTCTAACGAGTTGGATAAAATTCGGCTTCCCTCCTATTCCGACTTGTAGTCGTTCTTTTTTCTCCCTCCATAATAGAAATAAGTTGTCCACGAAAGTGCTACCTGTTTCCAAGCTATTTCCTATGCCATTTTCCTTACAGTAATTTCTAAAAGTCGAGGTAAATTTCTGGATCAGAAAGCGATTTTTCCTTGTTCTTCTTTACTTCTTCCCAGACTTCTCGTAGTTTTTCTTTCCCAAGTGCAGTCATTTGTATACAACGAAGCAGCGGCATAGCCTGGGCTCATAGTTTTCACTAATGCTAGAACGGAAATATGTGTAAGCTTTACCCTTAATCACATGTAGCCATATGGTTCCCTTTGGATTACTCATGTAGTTGTCGATATTGCTATTGTCTTCTCTCTTTCGGAAATCCAAAAATTTTTGAACTAAAAGCCCTATGATTCTTGTGAAGAGAGCTTTTCAAGGCATACATGTTCTCTGATTCCTAATCAGAAGTTACTGTTACGAACTCAGCTGGTCACTTCATTTTATGACCCTTCGTGCTTCACATGAGCGAGAATCTATTTCTAGAATATGGGAAATACGTTAGTGTGAGTCGGCACAATCATGTTCCCCACATTGTAAGAGTTCCATAGAAATTCAGTCCTTATGCAGCAGCGTAGGTAAGCTCGCCAATGATTTAACTCTGAGAAAATTTCCTCATCGCAACTTGTGTAAATACTGAGAACAATTTTCCCTGCCTCATGTTTATTTCGACCGTGGTTCCTGATCCTGCCGTTTCCAGGTGAATCTTGTTCGTTTAACTGCTTTCAAACATCATATGTTGCTCACCCTCCCAGGTCTTGATCGAACAGCCTTAATGCTTAGCACGAAACGAAGAAAATTTCGTTTGTTTAAAATTCTAGTGTATGTAAATCTCGCGAAGCGCTGTTGAGTGCAGTAATGAAGAGGAAATCTCCATCTAGGCTCAGTGTAGGGTATAACATGAGTTCAGGTGATATCCAACCGCGTTTCCACCTTTGCCTGAAATTTTTTGTTTGCTTTTTTTCCATTTTTACAGGATGATTAGGTTATTTTCTTATCACCTATTACCAGCGCTCCCATTAACACATTGCATGTAAGTGTATCATAAGAGGTAAGCGAGTTTGAACCCACATTAACGCAACACAGTGATGAATGGGCTTTTCAAGTCCTCTCTTCTAGGATAGTAAGACTTTGTGCCAAACCTATCCTCTAAAACCTACCGTTTTCTCGCTTGCTTTGATTTTCTTTCATTTTTCCTTTTACTTCTTCAATATAGCTGCGATTTTCAGTCACTCACTTTATAGTGCAACCTTCCCACGATTTACGTGCGGTCCCATTTTTTCGAAGGGAATTTAGTAGGATAGTTTTCCTTCCCGTCTCGCTACTTGGTACGTATACCTTTGCGCAGATTGGCTTTAGACTATTTCTTTGTCGCTCGATCATATTGATTTTGCTTTCAATCTTTTTTTCATCACACAACTCTCCTCATTCTTCTCCTTTCTTTTAGTTTACCATTGCGATTTCGTATTTGCTATGCACTTCTCGAAGCTCTTGACTCTTCCCTTTTACAAGTGAGCTTTCGGCATATATTGCCTTCGCAGACCTTAATTTTACAATGTATTGCTTCATACAATGTTGTAAAATAAAGGTATGACGAAGGCATTATATGCCAAAAGCTTATCAATATAGGTGAATAGTCAAGAGCTTCAAAAAATGTTTACCAAAGACTACGACGACAAGTCTCAATGAAGCTCAGATTAGCAATATCTTGAAATATTGCAATAACATCCATTTTAGTGTAAATTTTGTTAGCGTTAGCTTATATATTGCGAAAATATTGCTTTCAGTGGCCGAATCATTCCCAAACGTATCAACATCCGAGTGGAGCACGTGAAGCCGTCGACGTGTCGACAAGACTTCTTGAACCGTGTCAAGGCTAATGACGAGAAGAAAAAGGCAGCCAAAGCTGCTGGTGAGCCACTTCCAGTCCTGAAACGCCTTCCTGTCGGACCTCGGCCAGGTCATCTCGTTAGCACCAAGAACAACGAGCCTGAGCTTCTCGCTCCTCTTCGATATGAGATTGTTGCTTAATTTGTTCTGTTGTTTATAAATCTGTTATTTTTTGTCTTCTCTCATGCGCAAAGTATAAAAGCACATCTTTGGAGATGTTTTGATTTTCTTTTCTGACTTTTAAAAGGAAAAAAGTATTCAGATGCTCTTTGGTTCTCGTGTGACAAATAGTTCGCAAAGTAAGGATTTCCGGTTGTCGGTAAGTAGTCCTGCAAATGATCTACTTTAGAGCAAATACCAACGTTTTTCTTTTCTATACCTCGCATAGTTAGTCGAAGTGATGTGATTGACTCTAGGAAAGTGACGATCAGTGAATGTAATATCCCTCAAAATTGTCATGTAGGAGAGCAGAACGTGGTTTTTGACAGAGTCATAGTCAAGATCCCAATTGCTCAATTGATCCTAATTCCCGATCCCAAGATCTTATGATCGAGACGAAAGGCATTACGTATCAAAATCATACGAATTGCGAGTTGCTCGAGAAAATGACAGTGGTGCAGTGCTCATGGTCACAAGCGATGGGCAGCACATAAAAAAGGTGAGCAGTGAAGTACTGCGATTGTGCCCTATGGGTTACTACTTGTTTATTAAGCCTCCACAGGTCGTAAGTAACTGCTATTCTCTTTTCTGTTTTTTTTTCTCAATAAAAAAAGCTTGCGGGTAGGTAGGTTGATGTCAGGTTGATGTCTTGGCGAGGAATGATAGCCAGCATGAGCTAGCAGTGTTCTACATTCATAGAATATCACCCGGTCTCTGAGGAAGAGGATGTGAATGCCAACTACGTCGTTCACGCCTTGGTCCTTTCCCTTTTTCCGATCAAGCAGCAAAAAACTCCTAAACTTAGTTATTTCTCTTACAGCAAGAAATCTGCTAATGGTAAATTTGATCGAGNTGTTTCCATTGCAACACTTTCACGAATTTCTGAGCGTTTGTTGTGGTTCACATAAGCTCTTTCAGCTAGAATATGCGTCAGATGCTTTTCCATTCTCTCTTCTTTCTTCTGCTTTGTCTCTGATCCACACCACCGCAAGGGTCATTATTCTTATTAGTCGTTTCCATTTGTCTCTGACTACGGCACCTTCTCCCGTCACCATGAATTTCGCATGGACCTTCTTGATCATTCCATGCTTTATTCGAGATCGCAGAGAAAACCAACTTCCGACGTTAATTATTGTGTCGTTTCGGGATGCGCACGGCATGCGACTTCCTTTCGAAATCGTAGCGGCATTGTGTGGCTACTGGGTAGCTACTATTCAATTAACTATGGTAGCTAACTGACGCACAAGTCAGCGCTGTTATCTTCTCAAACGAATCTGTTACCAATTAGTACTAATCATGGTTTCCGGACCTGTCATACGAATGAAATTTTCGGTGAGAAGATAAGGCTTTTAGGATGTCAATCATCTTTGGGTATTCCTAATTACGTTTCCATACCCAAAGCTTTCGGTCCTCCGGTCGCGACTGGATTGATGATAGCCCTAGAGAAACTCGTTTCAAATTCACGACCACTTGGGATCCAGGTTCTCTTATTTCATTGCGGCAGTCGTCATGGGGCTTTCAAAAGCAAACTACAAGACATAGAGTTAGTCTGTACAAAACTTATCTCCGTTACACCAATTATCGATGTCTTGATTACCTCGAGCGATGTTTATTCATATCAACTATTCAATGAGTGGCAAGCTGACGTGAGGTGTTTAGTGTCGCCCTCTGCATGTAGGGCATAAGCTCACTGCAAAGAACTCGCCCTTTGAGCAGCTTAGTAAGAACGCCTCAGTACCAGTCATTACTGAAGCGATCTCACTGTTGTTGACCCTTTTAGAGTTTTTGCTTAGGGGCTTCTTTTTTTTATCGAAGCTAAGCACTTTTAATAAAATATTTGGCTTTTTCGCTTCGTTTTTCTAAGCTCTTGCATTCCATCAATATGTTATGTGGGTTGCCGCTGGACCACTAATCCTGATGAACGACAAAGAGGTTCCGAAAGGATTAGATGAACTGACTGAAATGCGATGTAGCGCTAGTGGACAGCAAGTCATTTGGCTTTCTGTTGTTTTTCTCTATACCTTTCCAGCTTTCGTCCGTTAGCCTTCATTTTTTCCTTCACCTCCTTTCATACCTGATATCGGAGCCCTCTAAGACCCTCGATTCACGGCCTCGATATTTTTGAGATTTTCTCGGGTTGCCACCACGATTTGGTGCTAAATTTTTGGGGTGGAACTAGTTTGGGACAGCTAATATCAGTGCTAATTAGTTGCTCAACTTGTTATCTATTCTCACTTGAGAACTGTGCTCTCTAAAGACAAATGAGCTTGGCTTGGAACGCTGGATCACGGGAGGGTGTTTGGTGTCCAGTAAACACCACTTCCCGCTTAGCGAGCCTCCCTGAATCATGAGGTATTTATTGTTTTTTGCGGACTCTGAAGAAAAAGTTAGGCGAATGGAAAATGCCCAGGCGTTTTTAGAAAATCCTGCTGAAAAAGACGTTCCAGGTGAATAACTGAATGAAAGCTCCATTAAATGTTCACTGTGCTCAAAGAAACTCAAGCGAATCAAATGAACGGCTCGGCAATACTTGAAATCACGAGGGTCTCAAGAGTGGACGGAAGTGGGGAGTAGTGCTAGCGCTGCATAAGGAAGCCGAGATTTTATGGAGATCTTGAGAGAACGGAGGCGAAAGCGACAAACATTTAGACATACTCGCTCAGATACTGCTTTCGGCTCGGCTTCCAGACATCAACATCTTCTGTTTTTTCATAATTACCCAAAAACTTCATCAGTACATGTACCCGAAGAGTTCTAGAGTTTCTTGCCAGGATCCATGATTGTCGTCTTTGCCTCTGTGCCCTCTGGACAGATTAACTAAGCCAGTTCGAAAGAAGGAGCCCTCTTCTCCAGTCTCCTTTGTTTAAGGATCAATCTGCACCAACAGGAGAAAAAATTCTCTCAGAAGTTTCGGTTGGCAGCATGAGCTCTCCAATTTTCTCTTTCGTAGCTTCTCTCTATAACCTCTTTTTTAATTCTTAATATCGCCATGTAAATTACTGCCCCTAGCATTTCTCCACTCAAGCACAGCGGTACGTGCATAAAAACCAGAGGAATATTTCGAAATTCCTATTTGTTTATCGAACTGAGTTGAGGTTGAACTTTTGACTATCGGATTCTTCCAAAAGTTCGAATTCTCGGACATCCGAATGGACGATATGTAGTTACGGCCACCCCGAACTGAAGCGCAGCTCAATAAAGTTTAATGTTCCTTTTAAGATGAATGACGAAAGCGTAATTGCAGAGTGGTTCAGGTCGGTAGCGAAGAAAACGAGAAAGTCTGCAGTCATCTCAAGATTTCACTTCTTTTCCGAACTCATTTTTTCTGAAATTGGGCGAGATTAAGACGAAGAAGAGGTCATTCAATGAGAAATTAGCTATGCACTGGAATGTGTTAGCTAACAGCATTTATCCTGACCCAACAAATGCGTTCCCTTTTGAATGATAACAGCCTTTGAACACGTCCTTTCTGGGGAGTGTTGAGCTGCAGTGGGCGTCTAAACTGGTATTTTAGCTCGTATTGAGCCCTATCTAGGCGGCGTTTCGACCCGATACTAGCCCATGTAACCTTTTTTGAGGACATAAATTTCAACCAGTATGAACCCTTAGAAACCATGCTATCGGATCTGAGTCAAAAGACAGGTGCCGATTAAATTGAACTTTTACATCATCAAAAGCAATGTTGGGAGTGAGTTTTATCGAAATCTGTTGATGATGGTAAATTTTTCGCAGCAGTAATGTCTGAGGTTAATCTCATCCATAACTCAGTGTGTTGTCGAGCTTATTGCTGGTGCAGGTGCCTCCTATTCGTTTCGTGAGGGTGGAGGCAGTCGTTCTTGGAACTCCGCCTCGACAGCCCTCATCATTGATCGGTCCCACTGAAATCATGCAACTATACGTCCCGTCAACTTTTTCCTCTCTCACTCCTCCTACTTTTACTTCTCTGCTTTATTATTGTGATTTGAGTGTGGTTCCAAAATTTTTCGTTGATAATGCTGGACTAATTCCTCAGCGGTAACACCGAAATTCGGTTTCTTGAGGACTCCTCTTGTTGTCCATAACTTCCGAAGTTTCGGAACTTACTGTTTGCGTACTAAACTTGGTAGCTGCTTTTTGTAACGGTGTTTACAAGTTCCGCTTTTTGTTGTTGGGATATAGGATTTTTTTCACATAGCTTATAGGTCCTTCAATTACGTTTTGTTCTGAATTTTTGGCATAGTCACAATCATGACGAGAACTTTTTTCGAAAAAAGAGAAGCAGTTCAGCGTGATACGGTAACAGAGTTAATCACGGTGGCAAGGAACCTTCAGGATCCAATACACTTTGATCCTCGGTATGAACCTTGTCCAGCAACTCAGCTCTCTCCTGCATCATTAAGAGATGCACTGAACGGTGGAAAGGAGACCAAGAGTTCTTTCCCAGCGCAAAAGGTACGATCTATGAGGGAGCAGGAGGAGAGAGCTTCAAAATTATCTCGAGATCCGATCTATATAGCTAGGATTCCGCCAAGTAGCCCTTTGCTGTTTAGAGCAAGTCGAAGAATCACCACAATGCACTTTATAAAACATGCAAAAAGCTCTACAAGATGAATCAAAAAGTGCCTATTTTCTAAAATTAATTACAGCTCAGTTTTGGCTATAATAATTATTATTATAAAGTTATTAAAGTTCGAATACAAGTTGAAAAGTTGATTGCGGGGCGCATACCAAAAAGGCGATTGATCTCCAGACATGCATAAGCATAAGCTGGAGTGGAATTTAGATCAATTAAGCTCAAACTTCTTAGAAGTAATTACGTAGCCGGAGGATACTCCAGTTCAGACTGGGGCCATATTTCGGAACGTCATGCTTTGAACTGATATTCAAAGCGGCTACTTATGATCGAGATCCATAAATAGCCGGAAAATACCCGGTTTAGATCGTTGTTTGAAAATTTGGGACGATTCGAGTCTTGGAAATCACCTACCCTATGTGATAGGTTGGTTGGATGCCTCTGTAAAGACGATTGACGAGGGTGGCGCGTTAGGAACGAAATGGTCGCGTCGCGGTGAGGGGGGCGTCGCGCGCGAAGGAATGTAGCAGGATGCAGCAATAGGTAATAAATAAAGAACAAAAGAACTAATAGTAGGTTTATGCATAAAATAAAGATCGCATATCGACTGAGCTGTATGAAGAACGTTAGAGCCGTAATAACGGCGAATGAGTGGTTCGCGACAGCCGCGTGCGGCGAATCGATTACCCAAAATCGTTCCTAACGCCCGTCTCCCGATTGACGGATACTTCAAACAAAATTTCAGGCTTTTTCACCTAACATTTATTAATTTGTTCATTGATGACATCGAATAGATTTTTGTTTCAATAAAAACATACTACTTCATTTTTTTCTTCTTCTCCTTTGTTTTCTTTTCTATTCGGACCTTTTTTCCTCTCCTCATTAGTATTCCTTTATCCGTGCTCTACTTCTTTTTTTCTAAGTGTTCATCTGCATTTCTTAATAATCACGGAAGAGCCACTGCTGTTGAATTTCTGCCAGTGACACATTTTTACGTGTGTTTGAATAAATAAATCATAATAAATAGTGGTGATAATAATAATAATAATAATAATAATAATAATAATAATAATAATAATAACAATAATAATAAAAACAATAATACAATACTAATAGTAATAATAGTGGTAAGAAGGGTGAAGATTAAAATCTTCGGGCGTTAAACAATCCCGTCTACGGAATGCGCTCTGCAATCGGCTTCCACTCAAAATCGTAGGGGCAGAGTGGTTGCAGGTGTGGTCTATACAACGACTTACAGTGGGTAGTCAATGTACATGTCGTGCTTTTATATTCCTTAACGAATCCTATACCAATTGAATGACCTCTGAGGAATAGAAGGCTCGCGTTCGCTTAAAGGCACAGTTCACGATAAAAATGTTTTCTGAGATTCCCCCACAGGATGTATTAGAGGACCCCGCGTACACCATATCTAGCGTTATCAGGTCGAAAAACGGTCTAGTTAGGAAGCTGTAAAGGCTCAAAGATTGCCCCGTGTGTATCCTCGGACGAGTTTCACCGGTACTGTGAAGTCTGCACCGATCACAAGGGAACCCATGCACGAAGTTCAAATAACTTCTCATGACCCACAGCCGCAAAGAAAGACAGTTCTGGGCAGTTCTGGCTTGGTGTGGTCAGCTCTTTGCGCAATTGCAATAACTGAAATCTCGTCCGAGTACCCCTTCCATGTTATTTCCGTCATGGTAATCTGTCCAAACTCTATTTTCCCTATTTTTGAGGAGCCATATTTTTCTCAAAATAGCAGAACTCTCTTGCTTCCTTCACTATGGATGTACTATTCCCAATCTATAGTTCCGCTTTTTGAATAAAAACGGGTTCCTCAAAATTTACGTAAACTGTGCCTTTAAGCGATACTGATCAAGGATGGTTCGAACCCGCGACCATGCGTGAAGGATCGTGGACCCCGTGCCACTACTCCACCTCTGCCTTGCTAATAATAAGAATAATATTATAGCCATAGCAAGTACTAGTAACTCACTGGATAACACAGGTTATGGGGAATAGTCTTTTTCGGAGCAGAACTTTTTTTCACGCAGACTGTACATCCCCGGTTAGAACTTCATTACCAAAGTTTGAGCACTTAAACTAGACCAGAGCTTCTTTGGAGGCTGTTCTTATGAAGCATCCTCTAGGTGATCTCAGGCACCAAATTGCAGCTCGGTCATGACTTTGTTAATTTATCGCTTTCAAAATTGCTGTAAATCCATTAGTGAACGCGAAAGTATAAGTTAATCTCCACAGAGCAGTAATAAGTGGCTGCGGCATGAAGTGTAATGAAAAGAATGACTCCGCCTGCTGAAACATCTGAGCACATTCTTCAACTCGTTCCCCGTAACTACGGCCGGGTCAGCTGCACACTAATCCTTCTCTTATCATTTTTTTCTGTTCACTCAGATCTGGGAAGCCGATTTTTCAGCCGTTTTTTTCTCAGATTGACTGAGGTTTGAATTATCTGGCGCTTGCCATTATTCATCTCCACAGGGTCGCTATACCCGATGTGCTTTGATAGTTCTCTTCTCGATCTCTTCAGAGCTCACTTGTGCTCGTATTAGGATGCCCTTTGCAATCTTCGAATTTGATGGCCTTGCTTTCTACAATTCATTTGATTAACCATGTCTTGGAAGAGCCCAAATTCACCTGAAATTAATACGGGGTCAAACTTCAGTTGTGGAAACCACGACGAAGGGGTCCAATTTGCGAGCGGGGTGTGGGAAAGGTGTGGGGGGGGGGGGGGGGTTGTACCGGATGATTGATGAAATATGAGTTTCTTCCATATTTGAGCTCTTACACACGCTTTTGTTTCCAAGCCGTTTCGCAGACGTTCTTGGAAGGGGTTCCAGCTCAAGGGAGACAATCGGAAGGTCAGTGAGTGAAGATGAGAGGGTCACAAGGAAAGAGCTCCAAGTCACGCATGTCTCTTGAAAAACGCTTGTATTATTTTAAAGTTTTATATATTCTATTTTTATTTAGCATTGGTTCTGGTCCTTACGATGACCGTGAGGGGTCAAGTGTTGTCGTGCTTGTATCCTCCGTACCATTTTCGTACTACATAGTTAATTACTTGTATCGGAGGAGCAGAGGGGTGCACCAGGCTAGTTGATCTGGGTGGATTTCACGTCGGAATTTGATCGGTGGACTTCTTTCTCAGTAGTTTCCTTAAAAGGTATCGACTTACGCCGTTTGGCTTATCCCGTTTATTCACTTGTCTGTTTTTCAATGAAATCCATTTAGCTTCTCCTGAGCTCACTTTACAAGTAGTGTTTCTTGTAACCGGTATTCAATTCCAAATTTTGCTAAATATTTCATTCTAAGACTGCCTTTTGTTCTTTCCCCATATACTACTTCTTATCACTCATTGTGATTTCCAGGTTTCTTTCGTGTTCCTCATCCATACGGCTACCCTGACTTGGAAAGTGAGCAGCACTGCAAAACCCGGCAACCGACAAGGTGGCCCGGGAACCAGCAACAAGCCGTCGGTCATTGAAGGTACTATTTGTGATAGGGTCCATGTGTTTGAGCTTTTACATAAACATTCGCTGCTCCCGAGTCATGAGTGGTATGGGACTAGAAGGAGAGCACGGTAGGCACTAAACCAGTGGAAACTGCAGAACTACACTAGGCCCCGCGTGAATGCAAAATGGAACTCGAGGTGTTGGTGGTTTAAGAATGACAAGCATGGGAACCACTGCAGAGGGAAGGGGAAGGGAAGGGGTACAAGACCGCTTCTCGGAAGTTCAGTGTTCGTAGCTTCTTCTGGAAATCATCCAATTACCGAAGGAGTGTCAATTGTTCAAAAGAAGCCATATCCAGACCGCTTCATCTGAACAACCCATCCTCAGGATTCAAAAGTTGAGAACTGTCATGAAGGTTACAGTAGTACCCTAACTTCGCCATACTAACTTCGGGCAGGAGCTGATCTTGCTTCACCTAGAATATTCATAAAATTGCAGGGTGGTCTTTTTACAGGAGGCAGTAGTAGAACTTTCCGCATCTCGCACGGTAGTTTAAGACCGCAGAACTGCTCCTAAACCAAATTTCAATTGGCAGATTCAGCTCGTGGAAGAAGCTGTAGAATGAAACTTTGCTCAATTTCAGAAACATGATTTCATTGATCGCCCTAGCGGCTTTGACGATATGGGCCGTTTCGGCTGCCACATCGCATTCCCAGTGGACATCAGGACAGTACCCAGATCTTCGTGGTCCAACTGTAGTACAATGTGCTGCTGTAATGCCTCGAAATAAACAGCATATGTACATTTGTGATCCAGATCGAATACTGAACAACAGTCAAGGTGAGTATGATACGGTATAATACTGAGTAGTGACAAGATAGCATAGTAATACTCCTTGACAGCTTCACATTCATCATAATCATCCGGCTCCTGCTGTTTCTTGAGATGTTTGCGTGAAGCTGTTGTAGTAAACAATCTGCAACGTCTATTTTGTTGTAACATCGGCATATTTACTTTCCCAATATTTTTGTGTAATTATGGGATTATCCATTCAAGCAGTTGTCGTAAACCACGTTCAGTTCATGCTCTCGTCTTTGTTGGGAGTGTTTTGTTTTTGAGCCCAGGCGAAGCTCAAGTTGATGATGTGCTTGTTCCGACGGAACACTTGTTAGGGCAAAACTCTCATAAGAGAGCTAAATAGTTGTTCGTTCCTGTCTAAGGATTTTTTTGTTTCCTTCCATGTCTTGGGAGAGCGAAATGGGTGAAAGAAAGTAAAGCATGGTACTTGATCGAAAAGAAGGAAATGATAAAGTCTTAGGGCTAAAAAGGGAAGAAGCATGAAAAGGTAATTCGGGAGTGGCCATGCTCCCGTTGTAAACCTTTTAATTCTTGAATATTGTCAATGGAGGGCCTCTAATGGCAACCCACTAAAGATTTCTGAAGATTCCAATCTAGTATCAGAAGGGCCCGAGCATCGGGATCGGGTCGTTGGGAACATGGCAGAAAGCGGCCCTATCCATGCCGCTTCCGAATTTCTCCTTCAGATAACCACAATGAAATGGTTGGGATGATTAAACATCCCTCCTTTCTAGTTTCATTCCACCTTTGCCACTCGTTCCTTTCATCTTCCGTCTGCCGACCCGAACGATGATGGCTAGGAAGAGCAAATTGCAGTTGAAACGCATGAAAACACTTTAATTATGTAAACTTATCAAATTATTGCTATTCCTTTGTAATTTTTGAATCCTCTCCTCTCCAAATGACAAACGAAGACCCTTTCGCGCGAAATGGTCGTGTCGCAAGCATAGCCTCATAAAGCCTCATAAGCATAGCAGAGCCTTGCTGAGTCTGTGGTGGTTAAAGTCTGACTAGAACTGCCGTAGGAATTGAACAGGGATTTTAAGAGCTTCTGAAGTCTAAAATTATTGCTGCTGTTTACTGAAATGTTTACTTGACTCACTGCTGTTTTTAGCTTTGGCATTGAATCGGCAGCTTCATGACCTCGCCGTCGGTACGCCATGTCATTGTCAACGAAGGTCTCAGTGTACAACAGGGATTGCAGGTATAGTAATGCAGGCGGTTGATGTATGGGACTTCGGCTTGATTTCGACTCCCTACTTGAATCTTGCTATTATTTTTTCATTTAACCTTAATTTTTTTATATCAAAAAATACCTTTTTCTGTTAAAGGCATTTCATTTCAACAGACGTTCAGGTACGGGAACTGAAGGATTTCATGGGTTTGTCGTATCAATAGCAATCGTACAGAACCTTCAGATGCAAATGCATTCACCGAGCGAAGCGTAAGTGGTTTCCTTTCAGTTGTTGTTAATTTTTTTGAACCTTCATGAACTTCAGTCAACTCACCGAACGAGCTGAATCATTCTGTCGGGCACTGGAAGGGCGATGGGCACTTGGGGACTGCGGAAATTCGGTGATCGTCTTTGTCTGGCAGCATTATAAAAAGGTAAATGCAAACTAGGTTAAAGTAAAATCCCCTGAGCTAATAAATAAAACTTGAAAGTAAATGAAAGGTCAGAGTCAAATTTATTTCATGTGGGAGTACTTGAGGAAGATGCACGTGCCTACCTAGGTATTGAATACTTGTAATCCTATACTTTCGCTCGAGTTCTTTCTTTGTGAATGCGTCAAAGATCGTGACAAAGGTGCGAAACTGATACTGAAGTAAACTCTTTTGAAAAGTACGAGGGGAATGAGCCCGCAAGACATTTCAAGGAAGGGAAATCCTGAATTCACGTATTCATGTGCGAGTTTACCATATCAAATGTGTCGTCTTTTTTTTNNNTTTTTTCAGATGATAATCTGGCCAGCTCGATTAGCCGAGAAATACGTTACTATCGAAGAGCGGAAGAACATACTCCATAAGGTATGGCCTTACTTTTGATAAGCTTGCTCTCACCCCGACAGGTTTGTGCTTTTCATGGAATTCTGGTTATCTAGCGGGTAGCTTGAATTGCCCTTGTCTAGTGGGCAGCTCGGATGGCCCTGAATGCCGGTCGAAAAGTAAAGACCAAAATAGCAAGCTGAATCTTCCGAAAAAATCATAATTGGTCATACTCAACTCGAAATATCGAGTGGGCGGACGGTTTTTCTCAGAGCAATGACGTCTTTATTAATCGGGGCAGATAAAAGAGGTACTGGTAACCAGGCGATTACTTGGGTAAAGGTCGGAAAAGTTTCAGTGAAGCTTATTTCGGAGATAAGGAACAAATTGCAATAACATGTGCTTGTGAATAGCAAACCCATAGACTTTCGCATCGGAGACGTGGACGTGAGAACCAACAGAGAAGACCAGATCCCGACCTGCATAATTGGACTAATGTAACAGAGCGAAAATGGTAGAGGCTGAGGTCTGCCAAGTGGCACTCCATTATGTGTAGGGTCCTGAATTCGAATTCCGCCCAGACCAACTCAATCTTCCATCGTTACGGGTTTGCGTATGGGTAACAGACGCATCTGGAAATATGAAAGCATTGACTTGTACATCGGTTTGTACCCACATATCGTAATATAGGTTACTTGTGTGTTCAGAAGCCTCTGAAATTCTGAATGGCTGTGAAATTTGCATGGCGCATCTCGAAGCGGTTTTATCAACACCTAAAAGCTTTATCTTGTCGTGTCTTTCTCGTCGTAAACATTTCAATCTCTAAAGGTTAACCTTGGCCTCGATCTTGAGTTCCAGTGCAAACTCGAATTTTTTTTTTCAACTTTTTTTTATTAGCCTCAATGTTCCATTTGTTATAGGTAAACGAGCTTGCTCAAACCGATCAATGGTATGAAGCCCTTTCACAAGTAATAGGTATGTTGCTCACATTTGTTTTTCGTAATCACTTTCGCTGAACTAAGAGGTCCTGTTTAAACACCCGCGACAGATAGAATTTCACCAGAGGGGAGCTTCTTCACGTGACAGTTGTCACACGAGCAGCAGACACCTGTTACAGACCGCTGAAGTTTGCCCTTTCCACTGGGAGGGTTGTGTTTTGATGACATGTAGTCAGATAAATTTCAATACAAAACAACATTACTCTATAATGATCGTAAACTTTTATGTTCAAACATTAGAACAGTTGCACGTCAAATTCACGGCTCAGATTTCTCAGGAAGCAGGGGCATAGGGCAGATTGCTTGAGTAGAGTAAGTTGATAAGAACTAATCGCTCGATACCAGTACTGATTTACTTCATGAAACACACTGATAATTGTAATAAAGTAACAGAAGGGCCGAGGTGGTGTAGTGGCAGACGGTGCACTATCACACGCCCACAGTCTGCGGTTCAAATCCCGAATTGATGCCCAGGAGAACCAAGCCTTATATCCCTCCTGGATTGCTTAGTTGGTACCGGACTCATCTAATCAGATGGAATCGCTGCCTTTTACACCGGCTGGCTACCGCAATTCATTGTATCGACCAATCCTGCATTCAATACGCCACTAGGATTCTTATTGGANGTGTCATGAGGGGCCTATCCCTAAAAGGGACATTGTGACTCCAAACATTTTATGTTTTTTTTTGGAAAAAGTGAAAGTGGAATTGTATTTACCATGAAGAGTCGCTCTGAGAATCAAGAGACTGTCATTCGTGAATTACTCCTTCAATTCTGTGCGGTTGTACTCATTTAAATGGAAATCAAACTTTCGGGACATTTTCTCAATCCATAATCGCGCACTAATACTTCCAAAAAATCCGGAACAAAAAAATTATGGCCTTCAGAAAAAAAAACTCAACTCGCTGTTTATCCTTTTCGTCTTACTGTAGATGAATTTAGGAGAGCTACGGCGTGAGCTCAACGGAGAAGAACAGGGAAAGGTGGATACCGGGACGCTGTCGTTGTTGGTTGCAGTTGGCTTGGCCGTACTGCTTACTATACTCATTACCTGTAAGTCCAACTTTATTCTTCACTCTCACTTTTTAACGTTTTCAATAATTCGATAAGTTCATTTACTGAAGTTTTCAATTTTTGTGGAATTTTTGGTACTCTGCTGGTAGGTTGGAATTGATAGCTTTATGGAATTTAGATGCTCTGGTAGTGTTGATTCAAAAATAGGTTTGGGCTATCGGAAAATGGTTTCCGTGCCACAGGAATAGTCTATTTGTGGGGGAAAAAAATAAAATCTCGCCTTTTTCTCTCAATTCTCTTATTGAGGCTTTCAAAGATCCAACCTATTAGAAAAAGCCGAAACATAAAAAGGGGAAAATCATGTTATTCCGCCTTTTGGGCAGAGATTATGAAGTGCTAAGTGACGCCATACGTTTGGTTCCGGAATCAGATCCCGTGTCCAATGCCAGCCCAGTCCAACCACATCTTTCCTCCTGTCGCCCGATTTGGATTCGGTTAGGTGCATGATTTTGCACTATTCTGGATTATATTAACTACATTTTACTATTGAGAATCAAGTTCATGACATAGCTCCTTAAGAAATCCCTGAACGTCGAGTACTTCCTACCGAAGATACCTACTGTGCAGTTACAGTCAGAAAAATTCAGTGCGATGATTGAATCTCCCGATCTCTTACGGCTGAGGGCTTACGGGAGTATGTTCTCGTCCCCATAGTTCTTCTTCGATTTGGTTTCTCGCTCGCTGGAGCTTCAAGAGCAGCAAATCGCTTGAGGTGATCTCTAAAGTCAACTGTTGCAAATCTGTGGGGTAACTGATGAGAAAAAAAGAACATGAGTGACAAGTACAAGGACCATCCATCATTTCCTGGTCATTTCTTTGCTCAGTACAACTGTCGTGCAGATGTAAACTTGGTTTGTACTACCTGCTAACAGTGGTAGATGACGTGGTTGGCTTGATCTCAGAGTACATACACGGAGGTACAGGCTACAGACACGGGTTTGCCAGCCCATGTCTCAACAAAAACGTTTCCAGCAATCCTTTATTACCTTATTTGGTGCAGGGTATATGTGATGGATTCTCTTCGTCCCTCGAATGTTTCCTGCACTCCTTTGTAGGAAATTACTGTATCACTTGAACCGCGCACAGTAAAGTGCGGTATTAATTCGTCCTGTAAGACGTCCAGTATTCTCGGGCTCTTGGGATTGACGGAATCTGGGATAGCGCTACGCAAAGTGCTACCAAAGTGCTTTTGGTGCAAATAAGGACGTTGGATGCTTTCGAAACAGAATCAAGGAGCCTGTGTAGGCAGTGCTCAGCATGCCCTTACTGACCCATTCGAAAAAGGTTTCATATGTGGGAAAAACCTATCGCTGTTGAAGAGGTGCTGTCACGATCGCTGTGCAAGTGTCGCACGGCAACAACCCGAAGCGGTCCTAAAAGCCCTCCCTTGGGGCCTTGTTACTTCGCGTGTTCCAATGAAGCGGTATTCTTCTTTGACGGGACACTCATCCCACTTTACTTCAGCTTTTCGTTCACTGTTGTTCTGGTTTCCTCAAATTGTCGCCTATAATTTTGAATAGGAAATTCATGAAATCGAAATTGAATGTGGATTTCTTCCATCGTGGGCGATCTCTGGAACATTCCTTTCCATGAAGATTTGTGATAATGAGGAATGAGAAATGTGCCGGGCCGGCAGTCTGTGGCTTTAACATATGGCCTAGTGGAGCAGGTGTCCATCGAGGAATGTTCGGAGCTTCCGGAAATGTTTAAAAAATGGTTGTTCCTGTCTCCTGCTCCCGCTGTAGTGGTTAACTGACATGCGGAAAATGCCTGAAGTAGTTTTTTCTTCATAAAGAAAAAAATGGAAGCAAACTTGATTTCTGTGCCCCTAAAGCTTGTGAGTATGAGGAAAAAGATGTGTGGAACTGACCACGATAGGCATTTGGTGAGGACGGTGCCGTTCAAAGCAACATTTTACGGCATCAGAAACATAGGTTGCATTCGTTTTCCTCCTATCCGTTCTGATCGATTCCCGAGACGAGGGTTTCCCATTCTCAGGACGTCCTTCAGGTCCTGAGAAGGGAAACCCTCGCCTCGGGAATACAATCAGAACGGGTTCAAGGGATAATATAAGATGAATCCTCTCAACAAATAGGATTTTCATTATTGCAGGCTGTGTATGTGCGTTCCGATGCTGTGGCAATCTACGCGGAGAGGATCGACCACGGCCGGTTCGTCGAGCTGTTGAGCGAGTAGATAGCTTACGAGAAACCGTACTCAGACGAGGATCTCAGCTTCGGAGGTTCAAAAATATCATCTCGCCTTGATCAGAATCCCGAAGCGTAGGCTCTAGTCGTGTTGTAGTGGTTGAGATCCTTTAGTTAGCCTAGAGCAGTTTCACTTTTCGTCATGCACTTGCACGAAGGAGTACGCCAACAAGTAGGGACCTTTCCCTTACTCTAAAAGATACAAGTGGAGCAACTATTCCACTTGACAAGTATCTTGCAGATTTGCTTGCATGCAGTATCAGTGGATTGTCCATAGCCATTCAGGAATTTGAAGGTAATTGTCCGAGGAAGTAGGAGGAACCAAGGCCAACAGAACTAGGGTCTCACACTAGTAGGAGGAACCAACATCATTTACGTAACCCTGTAGGTCTCCATTTTGAGATATCATGAAGCGGCAGCAGATCGTGCGGCTTTACTTTTCGAAACCAACCTGCGGAAACCGTGAACGGGAGCAGAGATGCTGGAGAGGAGAATTCGCTTACCTTACGTCCATCCCCGGAAGGAGAAGTTTTGAAAAGAACATGGGGGCAGGCAGAGGGCAGTGTTGAGTGATTTGTAGAGGGAATGGGTTGTGCAAAAGGCTGATGCTCACTCGTTTCGAATGGACTGGTCATAGTGGATGGGAAAGAGCACAATCAATCTTGGCTTTTTACAGTATCTCCCTTCTCTCGATCTGCTTTCACAGGAAGAAGAATGGAGGCGCTGTAAAAAGTCGAAGTCAATTCTACAAGTCTAGGAACAGAGTCTGGAATACGATGTGGAGCCCTTTTTTCTGTTAATAAAGTAGACAAAGGCTATCTGGTCGATACATAGATATTCGAAAGTAAATGGACTTGGTAGGCGCAAGTAAGAGAGGTGAGGCAAAGGAAGCAGTAGGCAATGAGGCTCTTCGCACAGTCCCTACACTTGGTTCTCGCACGAAAAAAGCGAAGCTGCACTAAGTGGAGAGATTAATTTTGTGTCGAAGCATTTTGTGCTGCTGTTCTGTTCACTGGATGAACTGGTCATGAGGTTCCGGGGACTTGACCGTCCGGGAGAATCGTCGTAGTGCTCCAGAGTGTCCACCGCTGCCCAAAAATGTACTGGCGTGATTTGTCAGGATCATTAGGCAGCGGTGGACACTCTGGGTATTCAAATAGCCATATATCATCCCAAACACTCTTTGAAAAACGTTTTGTGTCATTAGGTTCGATTGTTATTTGTCCAGTTTTCGTCGTCGTAGATGACAAAAACCTTGGTTTTATGCAAGAAGCTATTTTATTCGATTTCTAATGGGTTCCTATTCAGATCCATCAGTCGCTCACCAAAGTTTCCGAACAACCCGAATCGATTTTTCTCCGCCGATACAACGATGGTCTAAAGGGTATTTAGGGAGTCCAAAAATGGATTTCCTCCTCCCCAACTTCTCATCAGTCGATATAACATTACGAGTTTATTTGTAAATACATTTATGTAAAGTATATTTTGTCGCTCGCTCGCTAGCACTCATCACGATGTCAGGGATTGCTGGTTACTATTTTTTTCTTGATTTCAGTCTCTTCAATATTGTATTATATCTATCACCATTGAAGTGTCAGGTATTTATAAAGATATTTTATAAATCATTATAATATTGTAATATTTATGGGTATTCTTCCCATGCAGTTATTAGCCACATTCAGGCCGTCCTCCTATACGTTTTTTATCCTCCCGGACAAGTCTGTTTGCAATTACTCGACCCATAAGGGACGAGAAGCTTTACTTGGCTGAGGTATTCAGTCTCCTGGATCGAATTCCTCGGGCCTTTGAATGTAGGGGCTTCAGGCCTTTGAATGTACAGGCCTTCTGAGGAACCTCCCGATGCTATATGGAACAGGACCCGTTGTTTTCCACATTACACAACTAGGCGTACTCACATCTTCAGGACTTGTTTCCCCGGTGTTTCGACAAGCTCATCAATTATTAGCAAGTAACAGGTGGTGCTTGCTTTCCTTCATTCCCACAAAAAATTTCATGGCACTGAAATGTGTGGGGTAACGTACCTACATGGAATCATCGAAAAACTTTGAAATCAATTTTTTCCCGAGTTAGCTGTTCATACTAGTCCGTGAGCCATGACTCGAAATTTCGCTGGTAAATTCTGGGCGAAGTTCATGATTATGGGCAATTAGCAGGCTAACCTGTATGTCCAGAAGTTGCTGTTTTAAGGGTGAAAGTTCGTGTCTTTTGACAATAATAGGTCTTGTTTTCGGAGTGCGCCAAGCATTCAACTTCCAATCAGAATTTTAGAGGCATTTAGAGGCTTTTCAAAATCTTGTATGGCCAGCCCTAGACAACTCGATGCCTTTTATCTTCCCAAGCGAGTCTCGTATCAGTTAATCCACCGTGAAGAGATGGAGGGCTCGGTGAATATAGTCGGATATCCAGCCGGGCCAGCCGGGATTTGATTCCTGGATTATGCGTGTGTGATACTGCGCCACTTGGCACTACACCGCCTCCGCCGTCAGTGAAACACCTATAAAATGCAACTAATTATTATATTGCTAATGGATAAAAGATGAATTCTTGGTCTCGGATGCGCTTATTCCGTTGGAAAAGCCGAGGGACTCGAGGGACTGAGACGACGTCAGTGTTGTATCGTTGGACTTCAGCCAACCTTTTCCATAAAGGGTAAGAAGCCATCTGTCAAACCCAGGGTGCCACTGAGTTTGTGATAATGAAACTTCTGAGAATTGCAGCTCAGCTGACGTTTTTCAGTCTACGAAATCGCTATGATATATCACATCACGCCACACTTCAGCAATTTGTCAGCGGCTGTCTGTTAAAACGTAAGGTGGAATTTCCTATGGGGAGCGGATAATTTGTAAAGCGATCAACGATCACTCACTCATTGAGGTATCCCTCGATCTCTATGATTGAGGCAATGGGACCATCTTAAGAAAAAATGAGATTTCTGAAAGTTCTCATTCAAATTAACTCCGCCGTTGCCGGTCCCAAGCCCGGATGAGAAAGGAGGAGGGT